TACCTTGACTGAGAGAAAGATGATTACATGGTTTTGACTCACAAAAGAAATATATGTAGATTAGCAGCGAAAAGATTTTTTCTATTAGCCTGCATAGATTTTGTGGCGGAGTCAAATGATCACCGTAGTAATTATATTTATCTTTCGGAACCATTTCTCTATACTACTTCTGCACACATATAAATTACAATAGTAAATCGAAAACAATTCAGATCTACAGTAATGAGCTTGAAACGAAGACTTTTGTCGAAAAATTCAGTGATATCTTTGTACTACGGACGTTTTTAAAAGAACTTTGTTGTTTTTTTACTAAGTATATAATTCATTGACAGATAAGTGTCAATTCAAAAAGAGAAGCTATATTGCACATAGAAAAGCAATACTTTACGAAAATGACAATAATGAATGTCAAGTATTAGAGGTAGTAGAATATAATAGAACCGATACCAAGTACGATTACAAAACTATAGCCTTTATTCTTCAATGAAGATCACTTTGACCATAGATTATATCAATAACAACGAAGGAAATAGTACAATAAAATAAAGAGTATAGATATAGTTTTGCTTATGTCTAAGAGCAGAAGCTGCTAATTATAGAACAATCCTATGAGAGATTAGACAAAACGATTCATCTTATTAATTTTATATTTACAACCTGACGAAAATTTCAATTTTTTTTTTATTCTCATACCTATCCATAAAAAAACACTAAAGTAAAAATCGTATTGTTTTCTGAGTCACGCCTTCAGTTCAATGTTGACTAAACTTGTTCTCAAAGAATCTATTTGTTCATATATACTATTTTGACTATCATATTCATATTAGTAGATGATCCATCATAGAATTCGACTCCTTTCATTTTTTGAACAAGACTAACAAATATATCTATAAATATGTATGTTTGACTATTAAATTCAAATAAATATTTACCATGAGGTGCTGGATTATAATTAACTTTTTCGACTACTCTTAACCATTTACGAGATTGTGTTGCATCAAAATGAGTTTCATTTTTTGTTCGTGTTGTTTTATAATAAACTGATAAAAATGGTCGACGTAAATGTTCAGCTGTACCACTTGAACGAAGAAATAAATCTTTTAATATAGCAACATTAATTCGTGCTGTTAATGAACGTATTTTATCAATTGTTATATTTAAATAATTTGATTCACATGATGCTAAATATCCATTAGCATATTCATTATATGTATCTCGTGTTACTTGAAGTTCTAAATAATAATAATAATAATAATAATTGAAAATTTTCTAATAAAACAAAAAACATCAAACCTTGTTCAATTGTAGTTGTATGATTAATAAAATTTATAATATGTTTTAAACATAAACGAGCATTACGAACAATATTTAAACTTCCTTGTACAATTGGTAATTGTTGTGTTAATGGCCAAAGTTCCGTTAAAAGTTCATTTTCTTCAATTGTCATTGAAGCATTTGATGTTATACCAATACGTTGTAATTGAGAAAAAATACCTAATGATGAAAATAATTTAACATTATGTATTGTAAATTCATGATCAATTTGTTTAAGTGAACTAAATGCCGAAAATACGTCTAAAAAATTATTGCCACTTGATTCAACTGTTTCTATATTATAAATATTTAATGTATGTACACGTGAACAATATTTTAATGATTGAAAATCTCCTATTGAACGAAGATGTTTTTCACGACATGCACCATTACAATAATTATTGTCTGGAGATGATATACAACGAATACATCGTGAACCTGACATACGAACAAAACCAGATGGACAAGATAAAACACATTCATTTATTTCTTCTAATATAAAACCAGTACCCAAAAAAAATGATGTACATTCTTGACGTGTTACACATAAAGAACCACCAGCCTTTAAAATAAAATTCATTATCAAACATGGAATAATATCTTTTATGAATATGGAAGAACAAAAAAAAACTTTCGTGTTTATTCAGATGATGTTACATAATACTAACACTACTGTATTGTTACTGAATTAAGATAATTAACAAACTATAAAAGAGTTTGATAAAGACAAAAAAATAACGTAAAACATGTAGTTTAAAAAAACATTAGGATAATTAATAGAGAGCATTTCTTTTTTTTTCCGAATCAATCTCACATTTCATTGAAACTCAAATCAATTAAAATTTAGATATTAAAACTCATTGTCAACTTTAATATTAATATTTGAAAGTTAAAATTTTTGATTAAGAAAACAATGATGGTATTGTTTCTATAGTGAAGGATTTCTATCTCGAATATAGATTATAACAAGAATGAGTAATTTTATCGATAAATGAATACGTCTCATAGAATTATATTCTTATCTTATTAATCTAGTCATTCGTTCATCAATCGAAAACTGAAAATATCATCCATCTTATAAAACAAACTTAATCTTACACTAGAACTTTAAAAACGTTATAGTGCATAATCATTTCTCATCTATATTAGATATAATTTTTTGTGGGTCATAAAACTATCAGGTAGAGATCTACAAATTCGGATCTGAGGCATTGTTGAAGACGTTCTCTGACATGCTCAAACAAATCTATTGATCGGGACCGATGTTTTTTTATCAGTTCAGCTACTGAATCTGATTTTCACTGTACTATGGGAATGGCACTTTCGAACATAAAAAACTTTTGTTCTGTTGTGAGGATGGTGCTCTCAGATACATAAAAAACCTTTGTCCCATTTTCGAAAATACCAGTTTTGATTGCAAAAAATCTTTTTCCTGTTTTTTGCAAATGGCACTTCTAGATATTAAAACATTTGTTCTTTTTTAATGGAATTCAGTTTCCCAAACAGAACAAAATTTTTCAAACAGATCAATTTCAAGAACTTAACTGTTTATCAAAGAAAAATTTGATAGGAAAAAAACAAAATTTCCATTTACTTTTAACATATTATCTGGACATTTTTGTACACATATTCCCGTCGAATGAATTCTCATATTTCTACAAGCATTACAAATTAAACTTGATGTTGATGTTGAATTATAATAATGACATCCTCCAACACATTCATTTGGACAACATTTTGTTTCTGTTAAACAATTTCCTTGACAATTAGTTGAACATCTTTGTTGACATTGTGTTGGTGACCAACATGCTGATGGACATGTTGGACAAAAAGCACAATTATCACGATTTTGTCGTGATATAACTTGAGATTTTTTTGTTTCTAATATATCATTCCAACGTAATGATTCAGCATAACATAATTGAGCATTACGAGCTATAATTACATTTCCTCGACGTATATTAATTAATGATGTTAAACTTAATTCTTCTAATAAAAAATTATCCATCACAATTAATGAATATCCATGATATAAATCTCGTCCATGTATAACTGATAAACGTGGAAACATTGATGAAAATGAACGCATAGATGAATAACCTAATAACATATAACCATAAACTTCACGAAGATTTGGAAAACGTATTGTCGTTGTTGTACTTGCATTTATTAAGGAATGCATTGGAGCATATGTAACTGAACCAAGACTTATTTCACAAGATGATAATGCATGAGCATCAAAACCACGTCGTAATTCAAATAATGTTACACGAATATCACCACATACTAAAATATAAATATATATTTCAATGTTTCATAGATTTGATAAGTGTTTAAAATTTTTTCAAATATTCATAATTTTCAATGTCAGATTTTTCTTTCGAAAGAATAATAACTACTTTAAAAGAACAACACTTCTGACATCTACGCAAAAATTAAAGATACTTTTCAAAAAAAAAAAAAAACATAAATATTGAATTCTATAGAATTTTGCTTAGTTTTCAACTAAGAATCATGATGAATGTTGTTTTGAGAGATAATAGCTTATTAGGAAATTGTTGTAAATTTCAAGATAGATAAGTGGCTAAAAGTCGCCATACTTTCTCATTTACAATACATCGGATAGAGTTTATGCTTGTTGTTATAAAACAGTGTTTAGTATGCAATGTATTTTTTTTTTGTTTGGTTTCTTTTCATTCAAACAGAAACGATCAAACTATTGAGTGCACCCTCAAAAAAAAAACAAGGGTTTCCTTTATAAATGAAACCTTCAGTGTAAATAATGACATAAAGCAATGGTAAATTATATTCTGAAGCTAAACAACAAAACAAGGCAATCTAAACATTTTCTAGAGTAATTAAAAGAAAGTTTTAACTAGATCGGATATTAATGTGGAGATGATTTTCAACTGCTTCTTTTTTGTTTTCAAAATATTTTATGTTTATCGAAATTATAATCATACCTACTGACGAAATGTCACTTGTTTCATATTTCACAATAAATAAAAATATATCAATTACACCAGTGTTTGCTCATATATGAATACATTAAAAACAATATATTGTTCTAATAATTAGATTTTTTTTTAATAAAAAAAAAACCAAGAATCTGTTATTTAACAAAATTACAAAGATCAAACTGAATAATCAAAACATAGCAAATTTAATATTAGCTCGAACTGTTCTATAGCTGATAAAATAGCTTAAACTAGATTCAAATCAATCAAGTTTTATATTGACAAATTAACTATGCACAAGAGCAGCATTTTTCAAATACTTTAATATAATCCTTATCATTTTATTACCTTTAGCATGTGATTTAGCAATGGCTATAGAATCAACAGTTTCATTATTGTCAGCAGATGTCAATAGAATATATAAACATATAATAATAGTCAAAACATAGCATGAGAAGTTTTTCATCTGAAATAAAAATGAATACACAAATATTTCTTAGATTATTAAATAATATTTATATCAATAATCCATAAAAAAAACCAGAAAATATATGTTTTTTTTTTCTCAAGAAGACGCCAAATACCAACTGGTATCATCATTTGTACTTTAAAGCATAATGATTCTCTTTCGTAAATTATAAATATAGGCAATAACGAGTGCATGAAATAAAAAAAAAGAAGAAGAGAAAGAGAAAAGAACACCTTAGAGATATGACCATTTATTCAACGTTAATGCCGCGATGTTTTCAGTTTGGGTTTTGTTGCACTAGTAAGAACATCATCAAAAAAAGCATCACTATCCCAATCATTCTTTTTTTGACTTGTTGTCGATGGTTTATCTTGTACCCATAAAGATGGATTTGATACAGTAGAAGTTTTTGTTGTTGTTGTTGTTGCTGGTTGAGAGGATGATAATGAAGCAGCAGCAGTAGCAGAAAAATCTTCCCATTTATTATCTTCTGTTTCTAATGTATCACCCCAATCATTTGATTTTATATCATCCCATGGTGTTTTATCTTCTTCAACATCGTCATTTGTTTTATTAAAATATGCAGCTAATGCTGATGATTGTCGATCCTATTTTAATTATTTTATTAAATTAATAATAAAATATCAAAAAAATATAATATTTTTTTTGTACATACTGATTCTTGTGTTGCTGTTTTCGTTTGCAATTTCGTTGTTGTTTTTACCGTAACAGATGATTGCCCATTATTACTTGTCTCTACTAAATTATTTACATAATAAATAGTTTATATTATGTCATACAGAACAAAAAAAAAAAATGATTGTCGGACTCTATCGTTCGGTATTGCTTTTTATTTTTATATAATTTAAGCAAAATGAATAATACCAACGCACAAAAATGTAGGCAAAGTAAAAAAAACAATTCGTCAACCATTTGCAAAAAAAATATCAATGAATCAACAATTAATAACAAATGATTACAATCAATCGATTGGACGTGTTTACAAAATTAACATTTGTCTTCTATCTACGTTCTTGATTTTTATTTTTTATTTAAGATTTCTTTCTATTACTCTTGAAAGAAAAAAGAAACAGTGTCTTGTTTATACAACATATTATTCTATACGTTTCAAGAATATACTTTTTTACGTGTTTTTTTTCTCTAAACGATAGCAGTAGGACATTCATGTATGTCAAATGAAAGAAAGAAAGAGAAAGAAAAAGAAATATTTTTTTTTTCTCAATAAGGACATATCAACCGTTTAAGTTACGAATAATCAAATCATTGATTGATGAATGAATCGAATAGATAACGTCACATTAATATTTAGTCTTGATCGAAGAAGAATAGGAGATTATTTCAATACAATAGACAACTTTTTTTTTTTTTTACAGTAGATGAAAATGTAAGTTTCAAGATAGGAAGAATATTTTTCTTACTCAACAATGATTATATATGACATGTTTAATCAAATAAATAATTTTGACGTAAAAATAATATGTGATGATGGTTAAGTTCGTTTTCGAAATATATAATATCATATATGATTCGATATATTTGCGTATAATTTTTTTTCGATACGAAATATATAGTTAACAAGAAAATAAGTATTCAAGGATTAAGTTCACTTGGATTAGAATTCTATGTCTTTTGGAAAAAACACTGTTTGATTATGTTTTTAAAGTTTTCTTTATATAGAAATCAAAAAGTCGCTCTGAATCTCATCAAGAATTTGCACTAAAATAATATCTCTATTTGCAAAAGTAGAAGTTTACAAACAAAAGACACATCATACTGATTGTGCTTATCAGTCCAAGATAACCCTACAGTTAACGATGAAATAGATGCGAGACAATCTTCGACTATAAATTGTTTTGTGTGTTGACAAATATATTGCTTTGATCGGGCTCAAAAATGTCTTTGTATTTGAAAAATAAGAAGAATCTCAATTCATGGGAAAATGTGAACGTTTTACGTCGATCGAATGTAAATTTTTTAAGAGTTCATACAATACGGTCTACTCGAGTTTTCAGCTCGCTAAACACTTTTTTTTTTTTAATATCATTTCCGGTTAAATGAAAATAATCTTTTTTTTCCACTCTGTGAAACTTATGAGACTAGTTTTTTTTCTTTTGTTTTCAAATATTTGTATAACTTGTTACTAAATATAATTTTGGATATTATTATCAATTAAATGAAGATTTTATTTTAGAATACAATAGACTAATTATATATTTGTTCATTCTAATGTTTCTTGTCAAATATTTATTAATAAAAAAAGAAAATTTTAGTATTATTATTCAAGAAAATATGCTTAAAATATTAAACTGTCTGATCGAAGTCTCATGGTGGGGCATTTATTATAAAAAAAAGAAAAAGAACTAATGGAACTCTTTTGTATTACATTCACGTCAACTTATAAAATACTTGAATAAATTCTAATCTATTCAATAATAATACAGAACATCAAAGCTACTAGTCAAGATTAAGATAATTATTTGACATATGTGTTGTTTATTGATTTTATATAGCAAACATACATAAAGATTCATTGAAAGTTTCACTATATAGAAATATCTAGGAATAATAGAGAATGTCAACATGATAATAAACTCATAAATATTTTAGTACAACGTAATAAATTTAGAAAAAAGTGTATTTTACATGTTACATGTAGTGATCGGAAAACATTTGTTCGAACTTAAATTCGAAGTGAAATTTTCTATGATTTTTAGCAAAAATTATCTTATAAACAACACTAATCAAAATCAAACTTAAGTATTTAATCGAACAATCATGAGACGATCAAGTATATGACGCACTTGATAAAAAAAAAACTATTTTTTTTTTTGTGCATTCAATTCATCGTTATTTGAAACGAGCAATTCCGAAATTTTATCTATTGACATTTTTTTTCTTTGAACAATCGACATATTTTTATGAGAAAACAAAAAAAAATTTTTTTTTTTATAAATTATACTTAATGATAAAATGAAGAATGGTTCTGTAAATGAAACTAAAATATTCATTTACTAACAATCTATCACCTACTAGGATTCAGAATCAGAAAGTTTTTATAAATATTTTTTCACAACTGTTGATTTCCTACAAAATAATAAGAAAATATTCAAAAGTAAATGGCACATTTGGGACGAAATGACGTTGGTATGTAATAGTTTTTCAATAGGAAAGAAAACATTTTTACCGGCTTTTATTGTTCGGATAGAATTGTAAAGCAAAATAAACACGACATTCATTGAATCAAATACATTTTTGATCATTGTTTTTTTCTTGTGTAAAATTGACCTCTGAAGGTTCACAAGTGAATTATTCACAGAAAAAAAAAAATCTTTCCAATACACCCCTGGGCAAAAGTCTTTCCCCCCACCTCTTTTTTCAGCGAGCCTTTTTCTACTATTATAAGGACAAAACATGGTGTTGTTCGGGCCGATTAGGGGTTATTAGGGTCCTCTTTTATATAGCCCGAACAACACCATGTTTTGTCCTTATAATAGCAGAGAAAACCTTGCCGAAAAAAGAGGTGGGGGGAAAGACTTTTGCCCAGGGGTGCATATACGACTCAATATATATATTGTAACATTGATTTTAATTGTCAATTTTATTTTTTGCTTTTCAATTATATCATGACAATGAAAACTGTTAAAAGTGTTTCTTTTTTTTTTTTTTTTCTATTGAAAAATCATTAGATGTGAACCTTGATTCATTCCGAAAGCAATATTTATATTTTTTGATTTTTTTCAAAAATCATTTTGTAGAGAATGAAAAGTTGTATAACATATTGGCGTGACCAAAATCTTGCGAAATTTTATATTATAGCACCAATTTCTTGTCAATGACAAAGGCAAAATTAATGAAAATTTTTATTATAGATAAAATCTATTATCGAAAAAGTTTTTGTATAGATCGAACTGAGCTATTTAGTAAATATTGGGTATTACGGAATTTGTGAGTGCATCGTATATTCAATGGTTTCATAATTTCTGTCTTGAGACTTTTTTTTTTAAATATTAAATGCAAATAAATTTTAAAACAGTTTTAAGTCTGGTTCAGACTTGATTTAATAGAATAATAATGACATATATTAAAAAAAACTAACCTTTTGCTGGCGTTGTAGTTGTTGAAGTAGTTGCTAGAGCTGTTTGTGAATCACTTTTTGCTAATGTTAAATTAACTGATGGTTGTTGTGGTTTTGTTGTTAATTTACCAATATTACTCGAAAGTGATGTTAAAGCCCATGATGTCCATGATGTTTCATTTGCTGTTCCACCAACATTACTTGAATTAACATCTTTTTCTACATTACAAAAAACAAAAAGAAAGAAGCAACATTTCAATTTTTGTCTCAAAAAAAAACATGAGATCATACCCATTTCAATAGCTAATTCTGGTTTTTCTGAAACTGTTTCTAATTTTTTAATAAATACTTGTATTGTTTTAAATGCCTATTTGTTTAATAAAATAAAATTACACAAAAAAAAAAAAACGAAAGTTTTTTGTCTATCATGAATATTTTTACTTGTTGTCGAACATCAAGTTCAGGATCAATTGTAGCATGACAAACAATAGGTAAAATTTTTGTTGCTATATCTTTTAATGTAAAAAATCGTTCTGAATGATTAAGTGCATAAAGAGATGCTTGTCGAGATGGTCCAAATGGATCTTGTGTACCACGACCAAACGCTGATATTAGAAGACGACCACGTAACTAATTAAAATAAAAAAAAAAACATTTTTGTTTTAATAAGATTCATTGAATGCAAAAGTTACAAAAAAAAAGTTCCTAATAAGAAAATTTATGAGAGAAACCTCACGTTTCGATTTCAATGATTGTTTTACTACATAGTCAATCATCTCTTTTTTTGTTTATCTTATAAGAAGAAAAAAACAAACATAAAAGTATCTTACACTTGGATTAAGATGTGCAGCTATTTTTCCAAGACATACGATTGTATTAGTTCGTATAACACCTTGATCATCACTTGTTTGTAAACGTGAAAAATGTTTCATTAATTCGATATTTAAATTTTTATAATTTAATTTTGGTGCTAAATATAACATTGCCTAAAATAATAATAATAAAAAAAAAAAAAAAAAATTTTATTATAAAACTATGGTTGAGTATCAGATATTATCTTTATTCGTATTGTATAAAATCAATTTCTATTTATATAATCTTTTGTAATATATCGGAGAATTTTTCTCAGGAGAATTCACTGTTTGGAATATGTAAGAAGCATGAAATTAAAAATAATCTATTCTAATCAAGTTATTAATTTTACAAACTTTTTATAGAAATAAATATTTCAACCATCAAATGAAAATTTAAACTATTACAAAATTCAAATAGTATTATATGTATTTCAAATAATAGACTATTTTAATCTTTCTCATACTTCTACAAATAAGTCAAATTTCATCAGACATGTCACTTTTTGTTTTTGCAGAAGTTTAATAATGATTTTCATCATCTTATGATAGAAAAATCTGTTTTTTTTCTAAAAGAAAAAGCAGACAATATTTTTTCGCTTTTCTAATCACGCATCGTACAATTCTCAAACGACTATCATTACAACTAATTACTTTTTCTTTTGTTCGTAAGAGAGAATGTTTTGCTATAGTGCGTGACAAAGTTCATTATTTGAATTAAGATTTTTTTTTTTATTATTATACAAAGAAAACAATTTCTATAAATAGCTAACTATGTTTTAATAATAACGGGTGACCCATAATAAATGGTCGCACTTTGCATTGGATATTTTAATTTCAAAATACGTATTATTAAAAAAACAAAATATACCACGAGGAGTTACTCTCGACTCGTCCCCAACTGGTCCCCAATTCGTCCCCAACTCGTCCCCTCCGCATTAATTGACTCTCAATTCGTCCCCCACAAAATTCGTACCCCGTTAATTGATTCTCAATTCGTCCCCCAATCCAATAGCTACTAATTGGTGGCTAATTTGATAAACAGACGATTTTCAACAATCAGCTGTTTTATTCAAGAGTAACAAAGAAACAAGAAAAAAATAAAAGAAACAAAAATCATTTGACAAGTTTTGTCTTCAAAGCGCATCCATATTTGATCGCGAGTTGCATGTCAGTGATCAATCCGCCCTTATGGTCGTTAAGAAGGAGCTCGAGATTCTCGGTTGGGTGTGGGTGTGGTTGAAGACTAGAGCCATATCCATATCCTCATCAATACCCACACCCTATGAGCTTTAACGATTTCTTGTGTATAGATTTTGGGGATCGGCATAGTCTCCTCTCATGCACGTTTTTTCATATTACCAACTGCTTTGTCGACTAGAGATTTGCCGACAGAAGCTGGTTGTTGAAAAGTATGAGTAGAGGGCTCGCGAAGAACTTTTGCATCGACTATGCAAAGAAAAAGCATGCTGGCACAACCACGATCTCGACAACGCCACTCGTTGCTCGTCTTTCTCGCACGCTTCTTTGTGTATTGATGAGAATTGTAATTGAGTACAGGTTGACCGCGCTCCGAAGATGTGAATAGCAGCATTTCTCAGAGCAGAGATAATGTCAATAGGGAAACTAATACACTACTAAGAAAACACATCATATATATATATATATATATACAGAGTGCGCTACGCAGCAATCAATTTTCTGATTGATGACTATTATTCCTATATTTGTTTCTAATTGTTTCTGAACAGGGACGGGCTAATTGAGGGGACGAATTGAGAATCAATCAACTAGGAACGAATTTTGTTGGGGACGAATTGAGAGTCAATTAAGGGGGGACCAGTTGGGATAATTGGCAAGGGGGACCAGTCGAGAGGATCCCTACCACGAGATGTAGCGTGAAAAGTTCTATAATTTACATAAGATCGCTTATTTTATAGTTGAATTTTTTATTTTCAAAATGGGCAAAATTTTGCACAACCAAATTTCGACCATGCGAAAATTGGTCACACAGAATTTTTCTTTTTTTGAAAGCAATTACACTAAGCTTTACTGTGTAAATTGTAGAGCATTCCACGCTGCATCTTGTGGTATACTTTGTTTTTTTAATAATACGTATTTTGAAATAAAAATATGCAATGCAAAGTGCGGCCATTTATTATGGGTCACCCGTTATTTAGCTTCGCGTTCTTTTTCTTCGCATAAAATGTAAACATTACAGTCTGATATATCTTATTAGGGTAAAAAATAACGTGAAGTACCTAGAATAAATACCCACAGATATTTTTCGAAAACATTATGCTATGCGACTGAAAGTTTTACCATAGTTTCTCTACTATAGCTTTAAAATATTCTGTCATGCATTCTAAGTAGTAGAAACTCATATTTCTTATGGAATATGGTTTATAGAAAATGCTCACGGTGAAATATGGATCCGAACTATTATCGATTTCAAAATAGAAGAGCCGTCGGTATTTTTCTAATAACGTTCGATAGAAAGCAGATATGGACCTGTGATATTCACTGTGGGAAATAGGAAATGAAAGCGCGTCGAACCAGATATTACAGTCTTTTTCGACAAGTTTTATTGAGTTTTTTTTTTAATCAAGCTTTTGATAAATCATGTACAGCATTCAGTCACCATAGGAAATTCTTGATTGTTCGGAGGGCATCAGAACCGAAAATCGAAGGTCTAGAAAACTGCGCAAGGTCCAAACTTTTTAACTTGTAACGTTCAAGAGTTAAAGATATTTTACTGTGGGCTTCTACCTGATTTTTCGAGAAAATTAACTGTACCAATCAAGCCCAAACGTACACATTTTTTTAGAAAAAATTCAATAAAAACTCTCAAAACATTTAGCAATAAAATGTGTCATATATGATTCAATGCATCTTCATTTCATCTTTCCAACAATAAAAATCGCATAGATCTGTATTTGCTTTCTATCGAAAATTATTAGAAAAATATTCACAGTTCTTCTATTTTAAAATTAAACATTTTCAAAGATGAACTTGACTTTCGTATTTATTCTAATTTCAACATACTTTAACAGTCGCTTCTCGAATAGCTGGTTCTTGATCAGTAAAACCAGTACAAATATTTGTAAATATATCATCATTAACAACAGCTGGTGTTAAATGTTCAACATATGTATCCAACTATAAATAGAAAATACATAGTTTAAAAATATATATATATATATATTTACTTGTTGTAAAAGACGAAAACGTGTCATACGATCAGTTGAAGCAAATAATTTAGTTATAATAGGAACAATACGTTTTTTATAATCATTATCAGAAAGACGTTTGCCTAATTTAAATAAAGTTGGTAGAACAGCTGAACCTGATGAACCAAATTCATATGCATTGAATAATAATGGTAAGACTTTACGTTCATTAATATGTGAAGGAAATTGATCTACTTTATCTGATAATGATGTAAAAAATGTTTGTTTTTCACCAGGATCTTTTAACTAAAATAAAATTTCAATAAATTTATTTAATTAAGAAAAAAACAAAAATAAAATTAAAACATACTTGTATTTGTTCAAGAAAGAGAAGACATTCAACTAAAGAATTATTTTGTATAAATGGAGATTGAAGTAATTTATCAAATGAAGAACGAAGTGATGGATTTGGATTTATTAATTCACCATAAGCAGCTGATAATGGACGTGGTATTGAACCTAACTGACGATAGGACGTAGCTGATGTAGCACCATTACCATTGAATATTTCCCATATTAAAGTTCCAACAAACCAAATATCACGTGCTCTGAAAAAACAAATTTTACAACTTTATCTCTTCACTGTTGTATGATAATGATTATTTGTTTGATATCTTAGTACATATTGACATGTTTATCTCATATAAAATATCGATACACAACATGTTTTAGAAGTTTTGCGGCACGATGAAATTAGTTTCTATGTAGACAGAAAATAACTCTTAACCAAATGTTTTTTTACATGAACCTTGAGCACATATGTGAAGATTTTAAAATGATATATTAGTGAATAAATATGTTCTCTTACAATAATAAAAATATAAATATGACAATAAATTTGATTTTGTAATAAAAAACTGAGTAATTATATAACGCAAAATAGGGTCATAAAAATTAACAACCGTTTATCTTATTTGTTTGTTAGATGTTCGTTACGACTCATTAGTTACATGGTCAATCAAGATACGCACTCAATAATCGGATTAATATGGATAAAATATACAACGGTGTCACGTGCAAAACGAAAATCAAATTTTACTTCGAAAGGATGACGCTAAATTTTCTGCAAGGAAAATAATTTTCAAGTTTTAAATAACTAAAAATTAGATCGATCAAAGAATGAAACAAACAAAAAAATAGACTAACTTATCACGTTTGATATAAGAACTTCATTAATAACAAATATGTGATAATTAAATAAGACTTTCGTATAATTAGATTAATGCAAATGTTTTTCGTGATTTTTTTTTTGAATAGAATATCTTATTGATCGGTTGTGAAAAATTTATTCTCCAGTCTATATTTTTATTATAACACAAAAAAAAAAGCATACTATCCGATAATATGTCATCCGAAAGCTCACACACGAGTACCCAAGACTCATGTAAAAAAAACATACGATTAAGGGTTATTCTCTGTCTGCATATAAACTAATTTAGTTGCGCCTTAAGACAAACTTCTATTCGTATAGACTAAAATGGTTATCTTACATAAAATGTTGACAAATATATGCGCAAATTGAAATATAATATCAGGCCAAAAGAAAAAAATAATATAGATGAAATAAGAATCTATTTTTGTAGTTATAGGTCTATAATTGCTCGTTCTGATCAAAAAAAAAGAAAGAAAGATCGCTGTGACATTAGATTAGAAATCGTCAGATTAATTTCGGACCTAACCGATTGAATAGATTATACTCAAACAGTAACTGCCGATTATAATTTGATTATTATAAGATTATTGTTAAGATTGATACAGATATGATCATCGTATTGTATTAGCAGAATAAAAGTAACCAATAAAAAAATCGATCACATCATCAAAACAATTCAGAGACTCGTATGAAATAATTTCATGGAAATTAAAAGTATACTTAAAATTCAAAAACCTTTTCCCAACAACTTCTTCATTAAGCAGCTGTCTTTTACTTTCCAAGTAACTCATTAATTTCTGTTAAAAAAAAAAGCAATAGCAATTCTATAAGGTCATGACTTGTACAGAATTCATTGGTGCTCAACTTGCCTTATTTTCTTTCTATCACTGATAGAAATGCAATGATGAGATGAACAGTACTAATTAAAGATTTCTGCATCATTATTATTTCTTAACATAAGACTAGTCATCACTGAAGGTATTCCTGTACCTGCTGGTTTTATTATTCTGAATGTTAATGCTTGAACACGCAGGGCGACAGAGGCGTAAAATTTGTCGCCAAAAAAAAAAAAAGAAGATTTTCCGTACTGTCAAAATGAATAATTTTCTAGATTGCAAAAGAATAATCTAGAAAAAAACAAGTCTACTATTCAAGTAGAAAAAATCTTACTGATAATTGCATGTCATAAGAATTAATATGTATCTAACTATAAGAGGTTACTGTGCATCATACATGATTTTAATAAAATCGAATAATCGAAATCTTATTAAACCATAATTCAAAAATTTCATCTGTATAATTAATTTCGATAATGATAGTTTATTAAATTTAGAAATAAAGTTTTAAGCTACTTTGTGTAGCATTGATAATATAAATTATATGTAGTAGTGCTTCTCTACCAAGAAGTCACTTCATAGATAATTGAATAAATTTGATTTTCTTAAGAAAATAAGATGATAGCAACAGAAAATAGAAGACAATCAGGTATGCAAAACTGTAAGAAACTCATATATAAATCGTACAATATGATTGTTCAAGTCAAAAGAAATCCTAGTCTTTGAAACCTTATACTAAATCATACAAGAAGATTCTTGCAAGGTCTTACCATGACATATCGTTGTTTTTTTTAATAATCGTATAATACGACTTACGAGGAAACTTCACTAACTAATTAAAAGCTTTTGGGCTCATATTTTGACCACAAGTAGGACTTGATGGGGACTAGAAGAACTTCAAAAGGATTTGTTTCCATAGATCTCTTTAGTTAAGTTACGAATGCCTTAAGTTTAAATCCAAAAGCGTAGATAAACTATTTCTAATGCTTGAATTACAACATTGTAATATTTCTATAGAAAGCTCTCTCTTTATTCTTTTGTTTATACTCGTTCTGATGTGAGTTGCGACTTCAAATGAAATTTAAAAAAAAGCACATCAGTCAAATGAAAATAAAAGATAAACTATGAATGAAGAGATATGCAAACAAAGCAACAGGTACAACTAATTGAGAAATGCATATGACAGTTTTTAAAGCACATACCTGGAACAATTCTATTGTATTAATACTTCATTTCTATAGCTCATCAGACAAACACAGCAGGAGGATTTTTTACAATAGCTTGACGTCTTAGCTATAAATATTTCAAAAAGAAAATTTTTCTTTTGAAATATTACAGTAGTGTAATACAAAAAAAAGAAGCAGTTTATGTATGCTTCTGGTCGTAAACTTGAAACGTTCGCATCTTAACCAAATATGCCTATGGGGGCAAATCCTTTTGAAGTTTCTCTAGTGCCATCATGTCCTACTTATGGTCAGAATATGAGCCCAAAAGCTTTTAATCAGTTGGTGGGATTTCTTTCGTTAGTGTAAAATTTTTGTCTGATTAGAAGAAAGATCTTAACATCTGATTATTTGATCTTGAATGTGGTTTTGAGATAGACATATACGATCATACAAGATCTTATAATAGGATTATTTGACTTTGATGAGCACTAGGTCCCTCTAATCGCAATAGCACAATCAGCATTGAGAATAAGTATGAGACACATAGGTTTGATTGTATATTAGCAAGATAATAAAGTCTTCTAACTTATTATCTGGTATTTTCATTACATATTATAGCAAACAATTTATTATATATATGAGAGACAGCAACACAAAGATTAACTTAAACAGTGCGATACAAAGAGATGAAATACTCTAAAATTTTCCAAATTTATGAAAAATAAAAAAATAGATATATGCAAATCAAAGAAGAGATCGATTGAATAATGAAAAAAAAAAAAAAAAAAATTCATTAAAAAATTTTCATTCAGTCAATAATTCTTTTTCTACGTAGCACCTGCGCGTATATTAAAAAACAAAAATATTTTGTTTTTTTAGAACAGAGTACAAGATAAATTCTATATGAGTACAAGTTGACAGCTTCCGTTCAATCAATCGACAGGAAATTATTTAACACATGTATGAAAACAACTATCAAACAAACACAAAATAGAAAACTCAACAAAGAAGAAAAAACTAGTTGGATATTGGTTTTTCGCGAATCTGAATTATCCAGTTTTTGTTTTATGGAACTCACATATATTTTTGAAATAGTGATTGAAAGTTTTAAGTCGAAGTTTTCCGACTTTCCACGACAGACCTTAGCAACTGCGCGCAACAGGCTTCAGATTTATTTATTAATAGACAAAAAAAAAAGAAGTTGAACAGTATAAAGAATATAAGCTCGACTGCTATACAATCTTTTAAGGCCTTCATTATGATTTAATAAACTATAATATATTTTGTTAAAATTCTCAAAAGCGAAATTGTCGACTTTGTTTTTTAGAATTCACACTTGTATTTAAAAAATGAAGACGAGTAATAGATTGATCTATCATAGCAATCATCTTATTTTGTCAATTTACAAAATAAACGATGCCATCATTTATGAGTCGATTCAGATATATAGTAGCGCGGTAAGATTTGCAGATGTATATATAGTGTATTATTATAACAGTCTGATTTATGAGATAGTCACTAGTGAAGAAAAATAATAATATCAAATTAAAAAAATAACTAATATCGAGTACATAACGACAATTATAAATGAAATCGAACGGTCTCAAACAAAAAAAAAAAAACAAATCTCTATTTTAAATGTAGAAATAAATACGAAATTTCTCAGTTTACATATGATGTCTTAAGATATTAAAGGTTTAAGGACATATATGAGTTCCACAGTTCAGTTTCAAATGAGCTGCACTAACAAGTTTTCTTTCATCAATATGTGATGAATCGAAAATCTTCAATAATCAATATAATTATGAATACAAACAGTAATGATCGAAGAATATATCTTTCTCAATTGATAAAGATGAGAATTTAGATGTCAATATTACAATTAGTAGATATAACAAACACATCTATTCTAATACGTCTTTTAATTACTGTCAACGTTTCCTCTTGGAAATTCTAATGCATTAATCTTTTGATCGATGGAATATGAGCAATTAAAAAAGCTCTAGCGTCTACGTATTTTTTTTTTTACTATCTTCGATTCTATCTCGAAAAAAAGAAATTTTAAGTTCCAACGTATGAAGCTTGTATTTAGACGAAATGAGATATTTCGAAGTTTTCTATAAAATTTTTGTGATAAACAATCTAAAAGAAGTGTTGAAGTATATAGAATAGATATTTACAGCTCCTTCTACTAATCAGTGACAGATGCTAGTGAAAAACTATGACAGAACGTAACAGACGCTAGCTATAGATTGTTGATTTACGGTCACAGATTGTATGTCAATAATAGCTTGTTACAATATATTAACTATTTCCGTATTGCGTTTCTAAAGGATTAAGTACAAGGATACCAAAGAAATATACCTCAAGATAAAGAAAATAATATGATCTCTTGTAATTATCAATAGTAGTTACATCGTGTTTCGTATTTTTAATACTACAAAGATTTCTCTATTAGATTTTTAGTTGCGATTCTACAGAATCCCCTAAAGTTGTTTTCTTTTATACAGAAAAAAACAAAACCATGGTAGAAAACATATCATTTAAATCTTATTGAATAATTTCTTGATTTCTTATATTTTTGAATCAAAAATAAAATTCTTACTTTTGATTATCTCCACCTTTTTTTGATGGTGGTTCATAACGTTGACAAGCAGATAAATATTTCGATGGAAGATTAATTTGATCTTCATTAACAGATTGTACAAATTCTAAACATCCTAATTTCCAATCACATGATTTAGTATCAACAAATATTGTATTTGTATTTATATTTCCATGTGATAATTTACAATCATCATGAAGAAATGTTAAAACACGCTAAAAACAAAAAACAAAAAAAGAAAACTTCGACAAATTAATTAAATTTAATTTCTTACACATAATTGTTGTAAACCCCAAGCTATTTCAAGTAAATGTTCATTATTAAAATTTGTTTCATTTATATTTGATTTTAAATCATTTAAATATGTTTCAAGTGTTATTGCTTTTTCTGTAACAACATAAACAGATTTATCTGTCTAGAAAATAAATAACATAAAATAAATAAATAAAATTTTCAGATTTAATTATCTTACTTCAATACTATCGAGATAAATAAGAATATTTGGATGTCGTAAGGTTTTCATACGTTTCAATGCTCCTTTAGCTAATTGAATCTATAATGAAAATATTTTGTTAAAATTTATATATATATATATAAATATAAAATAATTAACTTACATAAGCATCATTTTGACAAGAAAATATTGTTACTAAATCTCCTGTTGTCTATAGAAAAGAACAAAAAAAAAAGAATCTTATTTAAAAAAAAAAAAAAGAACAGAAAAGAATGATTTACTTTTTTCTTTCCATTTAATATTGTCCAAATTGAACGAGGATTATTTGTTGTTTGTTGATTATCAGAAAGTATTTCATATCCAAGATCTTTTAATGGATCTTTTCCACCAGAAAAAAATGAACCCCACATTTTCTACAATTCAAAAAAAAATCTATATAAATTGAACACCTGATAATAATTATAGTTGATCATTCATTTATTCTTACCATACAACCATATGATGATGTGTCTTTGTTTCAGAGAAATATGATTGGATAAGAATCTTGTACTAATCATTAATCTATTAAATTTATTATTTTAAAAAAATAACCAACACTTGATTTTGATCAGTTTTTTAATATAAAAATAGAAAAGAAAATTAATAGATGGCGCTAATAGTACGTACTGATAAACCAATGTATAAAATAATGTACATCGGTCGTGTGAAGTAAACGTACGTTGTCTGTTGGTGTGTACCAAACTCTAGAACATTAGTACATGTTATACTCGTTTCCTATACATGATACGGAGAATAATCAGTAGGTGTCCGTAGTTGTCTACGAAGTGGTCTTATATGATATTCTTAATTACCTGTTAATTGGTTATATTTTATATTATTTCTTATTAAATTTGACAGTAATAAATGTTTTCTTTCGAAATTTTATAAGAAGATGAAATGCAATATTTAACAAGTAATAAATAGATGAAGTTTTTTCTGTATTCTCTAACATATAATACAAACATCATTCTCAATATTTTTTAATAATAAAATGATCTAAAACCTCGACAATTTTCTTAATAACAACTTAAAATTTTCCTAGACAAGAACGACTTGCTTCAAAACCGTGCACATCAAGATCCATGAATATGAGAAAGATTCTAATTAAATATTTATTCTTGACGTACAATATAATTCTAATGAAAAAAAAAAAATGACACACTATTTTCTACGCATTATCATTAATCTATATAGAAAAAAAAAAATATATATATATATATATACTTGAACTTAATTCATTTCTTTCCTAGTAAAACTTTAGTGCATATTATTTTCTATTATTAGTATAAGGTCGATATTCTATATTTTATTTAATAAAAATTCATTTGACATGTTTTGCACTAGAAAACAAAAAAGGATGCTCTTCACAAGATGAAATTAAAAAAAAATGATGTCTTTTGAAAATGACATTCTAGAGCAAACATTACGACCGTTGGTAATGACAACGTCATGAAGAAAATTTTTGCTGTCTGATATTATTTAAAGTGCTTTTTTTCTTTGATCGAAGATCAAAGAGCTCTATAAAGAGTTTTTTTTTGTATTGTAGAAGTATATTTTTTATTTTAAGCGATTAAGGAAACATTTTTTGTTTCACGCATTTCTTCAAAGACTATAATGGCTTTCTTTTTATAGTGCATATCTATGAATAAGTATGCTTAATATCCCTCTCACTTTTTTTCATTTATATTATAAGCACCATATTGCTAGATTGAATATGACAAATACTATTATTTTTTTTTTCTCTTTTTCTAAGAAACTCAATGAATAATTGAATATTTCTGAAGTGTCCTTCTCTTTTTTTTTCTTTACTTGTTTCATAAAAATAAAATAAAAAAAACTACTACGTGTACATCATTCATCTAATCGGATGTGCAATAAGCAAAAGAGAAGATGGAGAGATTTTTATTGAAGGAAGAAAAGTTTGTTTTAGGGATTTATCCAACCAAAACTTAGAAGAAAAAAAAACGAACAAGTAAAATGATCAAAAAAAAAATATGAACACAAAGATAGACGTTGTGAGATAAGAGACTTTGGAGCAAAGATGTGCCGAACTCCAACCTTAATAGTTGGTATGATATAGTTTCTATTTGAATTGGTATCAAATGATCCAAAACATTTGGAATTTAGTAAGATAGAATGCCATGTGTTTAGAAGAAAAGCCGTTAGCTGAATGCTTGAAAGACTATAATGTGAAATATAACAGAGCTCTTGGTTTTATCCAATAAGATGTTTTCATTTATGAACTCCTACCTATTTTCAATGTAAGATATAAATTGCAATAGATTCGAGTGAATATGAAAGAAAAGTAAATGACAACTATCATGCTAATCCTCTAGTGGACTTTAATCTCGCGGTGATGTCTGTCATGATCGATATTGATCCTTCCGTTATATCTGTAAGAGATACTTCAAATATCTATTCCTATACTACAGCATTCCTTTTAGATTATGTTTCACAAAAATTCCATCAACACAATAATTTTGTTCTTTTGGGATAGTTCAGACACTTTCAAAAGAAATATTACAAAATTCTAAACTATTGATTACTTTTGTACTAATCTATATTTAAATTTAAACAAGAAGACTTCAGTTCCAAATCGACGTCATATTTGTTAGACCTCTATTTTTTGAAACATTTCTTCATCTATAACAAATGCTCAGAATAGATAAAGTATTTCTTTTTACAATGAAGTTTATATGATATAAAATAAAGATAAGAAAGTGTAGCAAATAAAAACCAATAAAGTAATTTAATCAGTTCGAATTTAAAAACAGAAACGATTTTTACTATAAAAAAAAGTTTTATTTCTTATTACGAGAATTTACATTTGATTCTTTGCAAAAAATATTAATAGAAATTATCATCTCTAGAGAACATAAAGAAAATTAAACATTTTTATAAGTTCACAAAATTCAAAGATTAAATTCATATGTTTCGGATGATAATCATACAGAAGATATAAAAAGTTGTTCAAGCACAATAAAGTAACGGCTGTTGTGCGATTAATTCATAGTTTCTCTTTGCCATGAATAATATTTCATCGAGTAAAATGTTAAGTCACTTTTTCCTGATCTAGTATCAAATCTTGGGTTCTGTGACCTAATAGTTTAACATCATAAAATAATGAAACAAGGGTATTTCTTTTGAAGGATGTCTCTTTTCGGATACTAAAATCAAAATTTTTCAATTTTTGGTTTTTCATCGGTAATATAACTTAGAAGTGTTCTTTGTCAAATGCCATATAAATAAAGACTCTTCATTATTAGTTAGTACTTTGATTAAATCTCATTCTCTTAATGATAATGATTATTTCTCATTTCAAAGGTACGGAGAGCATGGCTCATGGACCTCTGACAGCACTGAACCCGGTCAGTTTAGTTGGAGAAAAAAAAGCCTCATACATACAGGACATAGTGTAAAACTGTTCTGCTTCTCTGACATAGAACGTTCGACGGAACTGAAAATTTCTTCTACAGGTATTAACAACATGTACTTTTGTAGGTCGACTAAGTATTTTCATCTTTTTTTCCATATCGGTCAATATCAGCATATTGTTGAGAATATAAAATCAACTCCCTAGATAAAACCAAAACTATAATAACATCCTAAACCAATAAATTATCGTTGTCATGAAATACAACTCAAGTGAAAACAAACTACTATAATTATATCAAAACAGTAATGAATATAAATTAACTTGAGATTTGATAATGAAATAAAAACAATAATATCAAGTTCTCAATAAAAAGAAGACTATATAATTTTTTTCCTTTTAATTATGAAATAATGTTTATTAATTTTGCGATCTAATTATAACAGTTGTTTAGACTTGAGTCGAATTTCATGAAAACAAATGGTTTATTGATTTAAGATAGTATTACATCGATTTTTTATTTATCAGTTTATTATTTTCCATAACACACGAATGATGAACGATACTCAATACTAGAATAGTAGATTTAGCAAAATAATTTTTCTACTACGAAATTTATATTATTATTTTTGATTTAATTATGAAATTTTAATTTAGTATGTATATATATATTTATTTTTTTTTTAAGTCTTTACACTATTTCAAAATAAACAGTCAATTATAATATTTTTTTGTCTTACCTCTTTATATAATTCGTTGACATATAGTTCTTCCTTATTAATTTGTACAATAAATATTATATCGATAATAATTTCATACAAACAAGATTATTTATTATTCACATACATGATTTTGTCCTTCATAATGAATTTGTCTTGTTCTTTAAACATCATTGAACATTTGGGTATTGTAATTATGTCTTTCTATTATATTCTTTACTGATAATATGTCATGTGAAAATACAATCGATGAAAATTAAATTATGACATAATTATATTAGTCAACAGAAGTATCAGATTATCTAGAAAATCAATATTAACTATAATAAAAATAAAACTTTGGTGTCATTTGTAGAAACATACGGTTCTTATCTAATCTATTTGAATATAATATTGACTCATCTGATTCTTTTTTTCCCTATAACAGACTCTTTCTATGTATTCTTGTTATATATTATATGTTTTGTTGCTCAAAAGAAAAAAACAGAAAGCTTCTCAATGGCTAGTAAATGTCAACATAGATTAATGGATTTACTTGCAGAGTGATATGTTTATTGTAACTTCTGCACTTCTGGTTGCAACAAACTAATAACTTCATTGAATGATATGTTGACCTTGTTTTATTCTGATCGATTAAAACAAAACAAATATACTTCTTCGAAAGAAAATATTCATTAGATATCATTTGTAATGCTAACATATTTTATATGACAGAATGTAAAAGAAATATGTTAATATTTTTCAGATTTTTCTTTATATTGTTAAATTGGATCGATTCATTCTAGTTCTTCTAACAAAAAGACGTATCTTATTGAATAAAAAAAAAAATTATGCTTATTGGCGAACTTTTTCCTTATTTGAAAGAAAAACGCTATCTTTTAAGTTTACATTTTTCTCATGAAACATCATGATATAGTTTTAATTATTACGAGAATACAAGATAGAATATGGTTTTACATTTAAGATGAAAAACATGTTCAACATTAAATGAATATTTCAATAATCTCATTCTTAATATAGTTAATAAAAATTTTGATTTATTATTACTAATAACAAGTTATAACTAAAAATAGTATTGGTAAAAAGTATTAGAAAAGAAGGATATTATCAATAATCAGTAATAAAATTGATAACCATAAAGAAAGTAATAAAAGCCATACAGGAAGTTTCATAAGTGTTGAGACACGATAAAATTAGTTTATATGTAGACAGAAAATAACCCTGAGTCAAGTATTTTGATATAAGCCTTGAGTACTCGTGTGTAATCTTTCAAATAATATATTATTGGATACTATCTTTTCTTGTTATAATAAAAATACAAATATGAGAATGTAAGAATATATTTTTCACATTTAATCAACATTATTTATTTTTTTAATAAAATGTTGAACGATTCTACATAAGAAAAGCTCTTAGCGCAATTCTTGTGGGATTAATATGTGAAACATCATGTAGCTGTTTCTCATAATTGCAAGATGATTGTTTTATTGTATCTATTTTAGGATACATTTCTACATCATTCTTTTATCTAATCCTTCAGTAATGCAATAAGGTAGTAATTCATAGATTATAGTAAAGCTTTAATAATATATAATTTGACAAGGTCTATAAGAAGCCGTTGCTAAGGATGTCTGACACGTCTGTAGAGAGGGGGATGCATCTTTATTTCAATTCTTGTCCCTTAATACTATTTCTAGATGGTGTCTCATAAAGTAGCATAGTAGAAACCGATAATTATTTTTCTTTTTCGTTAATGCGACAGTCATTACGATCCACTGATTACATATGCAACCAAGCTTTTATACTTAATAACCGGATTAAAATGAATAAGATATGTGAAAACGGCGTGCGCAAAAGCAAAAATTGTTGTTTGAACTATAGAGGAATTATTTAATAACAAAACTTTTGTTTCAGGTAGTGATGTTAAATTTTCTACTGTATGAAAAATATTAAAGGAGAACATTTTTCAAGTTTTAAATAACTAGAAAATAGATTAGACAAAAAACAAACTTACAATGATTTATAAAATTGTTAAGAACCCTTGACAATTAAAAAAAAAAGTCATAGTCAAAATAAGATTTTTATGTAATCAGAGCATCTTTCGTTAATTGTTTTTTTAATAAAATATCGTGCTGGTCAATTGTGAAAAATTTATTCTCGTATTTATATTTTTATTATAACAAGAGAAGATATTATTCGATTGAAAGACTACACACAATCAAGACTCATGAAACATACTGTAAAAATCGCCCGATGATTAGTTCTTACCAAAGGCATGCAAATAGAATCAGTGTTATTATCAATGCTAACGTCTTAGATAATTCAGTGGACGAGAGTAGAATAGTAAAATCTATTATTAGAGTTTAACATACTTTAAGCTGTGAGTTGGCATGCCATATAAATATTTTCTATTTTGGTTTCGTAACTTCGTAATATCACTTGAGTATAATAAAAGAAAATATAGATGTAGAATAAAATGCATTTAGCTGACAACTCTAATTTATACTCTATATCACATAGAGTAATGGAGAAGGGTTAAAAAAACATATTCATTTATATAAACTGATAAAAACGAAAGAGCGTAGTTATTTTTTTCAAGAAATAAAAAAGTTGTTATATACAAGAATAACAAAAATCTCTTTTTTTAGTTAATAGGGTAAAAAAAAGATGTTGCAATGATATTGCCATACGCTTGTTAATTATATTTAAACAGAAATCAATAAATAAGTTTACGTATTCTTTTTGAATAGTTATTCTTTATGTGAGATAATGTTTTTCATGAAAAAATCGTTTTGTTTTTCGAATTTTGATGTTTAGAATACAAAGAGCAAACCCCACTTATCAGACTGATGTAAAAAAATTCGCTTAAAATTTGACAAACAGCATTCCGATTAAAATACATTAGTGAACTAGATGATAAATGCTACAAACACATTATGTTTAGCATCTGTCCAAAGTTTACACTCCATGAACTGAAAACTCACGTAGTACTTTTATTTTTTAGTCGTAGATTTTCACTAAACAACAATAATTCAATATAATTCTATACCTGTATAGCAGAGATTGAACATACTTCTTTAATATGAGAAACGCTTGAATAAAAAATACAAGATAATAAAGGGAGACTGGTTTACCAACAAAAAGAAAAATACCGTATTATATTGTCATTAAAAGCTCATAAGGAGTGATGATGATTTAATGAAAACTGACAATTTTCATAGACATCTTACCTATGTGTAATGTTAGAATGATCCTATTGGATAGTGTTTAATACTTTCCTCTTTTGTATTGTGTTATATTGAAATAATGCAATGTTTAATGTACTAAAACAGCTTACTGCTTGAGTAGATATAACTATTACATCTACTACTCGGTAACATTTATCATTAGAAAATATTTCTACAATTCTTTTATACATTTTTAAAATTTATTCTATCCGATATTAAACTCATAAGATAACAATAAAATGAACTAGATTTAATTCATCAAAATCTGTATTACTCTTTCTGAGAATTAAAACAATATAAATAAGAAACTATAAAAAAATAACATGTTTTCATAATATTGATTCAATAGATCATTAGACTTCATATGTGTGATGAAACTATTCAAATTTATGACAATCGTATCAAATTATCTTTTTATATGCTATTGTTTTACGGATAGCCAAGTTTCCAGGTGATGATATGCACATTTCGTCTGACATTCTCATACGAGAAAAGTATCCGAAAACTTTAAGATAGATTCTATAGCACAAACTGTATCTATGGTTAAAAAAATAATGTTTCTCGTCTCGTCATCTATAGATTTTGAAGAAGGATTTCTACTGTTTGCGATTAGTTTTAAACTTTTCATTCGATTTCAAGTACATTTTTTTGTTTTGTATATTTGTATTTCGTCATGTCGTCAATGAACAGTAAATTATTTTTCTTGAAAAGTCTAGACATGCTCAGAAAAATGTTTTTGATAGAAATTTTGTAGTTTGGAAGGTTGTCTACAAAATGTATTACTTCATTTTCAACAAACTGCTAGTTTTTTTTTTATTGAGAACTCCTTTGAACAAAGGTCTCTAGCAGTGATAGTGTCAGAGTATCTTGACTAACTTAATATGCATGTAAGATATAAAAATTACCTTCAAGCAGTACAAATTCTGCTATACAAGCATATTGTAATCATACTAAATTAATACTGCGTCGTTTGTATGCATGATATTAAAAATCAAAGGTGTTTAATTTATAAGTTGTGAACTGTTGGAAAAAAAAAACAAAGAAAATAAATTCTTGATTAATATTTTGAAAAAAGATACTTGTAAAATTTTAATTTGATAATAAAAAAAAAAACTCATCGATCGATATATTATAATATTCTATGAATGATCTGTGAAAAAAAATGACGATATTTTTCTTTATTATTCAACATGAAAAATCAACTAGCAGAGTAATCTTGAAAAAATATGTTCTCATCTACGTTTCGAATAAAATTGATATTCATATTTTCTTTTCTTCATTAGATTTTATTCAATTATAAAACTCAAATATCAAATTCAATGTTGTTCATTAAACATGAAAATTATTAAAAATTCATACTACAATATAAATATATTTCAAGACTGATAAAATCTATTTACACCTTTTGAACACATGAGAAAAAAAAATATATTTCTAGGTATTTATTCATTACAAGTGATATTTTTTGCTAATAATCATAAAAGAAAAAAAGAACATTGATGTAAATTGTTTAATTTTCTTCTTAGAAATAAAAAAAATAATGAAGTTTTTTCACCTTTCAAGGAAATAATAATGACAATAATTTTATTTTTGATATTGAATTATTTTAGAATAAAATATTACTTTTTTCTTTTTTTGTTTTAGTTCATTTAAAATAAAAAAGCATTTTTATATAAATTGAAAATGAATTTAGAAAAAGAAACGAGAAGCATATCATTTAATATTATATAGCACTTAAAAAGAAAATGCAAAAAAAAGAAACAGAAGTTGTCATTCATTATCAGAAAATTTTCTTTATTATATGAAATGGCTGGTCTTATATCGATGATAATAATAATGATTTTTGTCTTTCTTATATTTTATGGTAAGTCTAATATTTCAACTTAAAAATATTTATCTATTCTCAATTTTAGTGAATATTATTTCATGTGTATCAAATAATACAACTCAATTTGATAATTTTACTATTGAATGGCAAGATTTTAATTTATTCAGTTGTAGTGTACCAACAACAATTGGTATATCACTTTTTACTTGTTTACCATCAGCTGGTTATATACATGTTGATGATATCAATTGTCTCAATACAATTGTCATCGACTTCAATCAAGATATATGTCAAGTTACTACAGATACAGTTATTTATACAATAAGTACTTCAATAGTAACACAAGAAACAACAACATTGACAAGTTCTTATGCACAAGTAGAAGTAAATAAAACAATGAAATTTTTGAAATAAATTTTAATTCCTTATAAGAAGCTTAAAGAAACTTTTTCTTTATAGTAAAAAATAATGAATGTATGACAATAATATTAGATGACATTTTGTCTTTAATATTATAAAAAGCGATGTCAGTAGAACAAAAAAAAAAGAAATACAGAAATTATTTTATTAAATGTTTGAAATAATCATCGTATAATGATTCACATTCAATTGCATTGATTGAATCCATTTATCAAAACCATTCCTGAACTTGTTTGCAACAAGATGTGATGATTTTAAATTGATCATGCAGGTTCTGTTTGACACTGAAAATCACATGATATGAGTTTCGAAGAATTATTTCCGTACAAAACTTAATGAATTTTTTTCTATATATTTTTTTTAAATTTTTGTTCAATTGTCAGCACTTTTTCTATAGCCTAAAATGTAGTGACGTAGAGGTATGAGAGAATACACATTGAGGATAAATGTTGATCTAATATTACTGTCACATATCATAACAAACAACTCTGTACAGAAATTTTATTATGATGATATGAGGTAAATATAGATGATATTGAGAACAAATTTCTTTAAGCTTTTTACAAGGAGTTAAAATAACTCCATCATTACTTTTGATGTGCTAGTGAAGATTGAAATATTCTACTCTTATGAAAAATGATTATATTTACATAATTAGTGAGCTAATAAAAGTGACGACGAAATAAAGACATCACATTACTTATAAAGAAAGATATGTCTTATACTTCGGCTACTAACCTATTTTCTTCCGTAATTCTAATACTTTATTTATAGTAGATACACTTCAGTTTCTTAAACTTCATATAAGTACATAACTATGAATCAAACAATAATATGAAATGTATTATTATAAGATAACTTATAATAAATTATCGTAAAATTTAATAATATGACAATTATCTATTATAGAATTCTCTATTGACTGACATCTCATATTAGTATCAAATTGAGTTTTCATTAAAATTGTTCATTGAAGTTTTAGTTCAATCCTTAAATTTCCTAAAAAAAAATCTTTGCGAGTAACAGAAAGATTTCATTTATGAATAAATCCGTTATTAACGCTTTATTAATAGACTTCAATAGACATGACAACAACTATAACTGAATCGACAATTACAACAACTAGTATCACAAATGAAACCTTACCTACTACTGAAACAACTTATACATCAATAACATCTATAACTGATGTAACCCATACTTCGACTACTACTACTAGTGCAAGGATTCTTTCATCATCAACAACAACTGTATCAACAACAACTGTCTCTACAATAACTGATGGAAATATATACAGTTGTGCCGATAATTCTTACATCGGCACGTATTGTAATATATCCTCTGATGCATGTGTCATGTCACAGCCATGTGAAAATGCAGCAACTTGCTTTCCAAATAATACTTTACCATTAGGATACAGTTGTCAATGTCGTAGTGGTTTTGAAGGTTATAATTGTGAATATGATAATAGAGCATGCATGGAAACTACATGTTGGTAAGAAACTATCATTCATAAAAATCCAATTTACTATCTTCTTGTTTTTTTTTCTCTAGGCATAATGGAACTTGTATACCAATTAATTCAAATGTATCGTCAACTGATGGTACAAATTTTAAATGTGAATGTATTCAAGGTTATAATGGTATTTATTGTGAATTAAGTGTTGATTTATGTGGAAATATTACATGTGAACATGATGGTATTTGTCAAACAGTTGAATCAGTTTGGAAATGCTTATGTGTTGAATCAACATATTATTATGGTGATTATTGTCAATTTAAAACAACTACATTAAAAGTTAAAGAAATTTTAAGTAAATCATTTGCGTCAATTGCAATTGGAGCTATTATTACAACATGTGCATTTGTTATTGTTATGGATGTACTTAAATATGTTTTTCATATTGATCCAGTTGCAACTGAACGTGATAATTATCGAAAACGACGTGAAGAACAAAGACGTGCAAGACGACCAATTAAAAATAATCAATGGAAACTTGCATTAAGATTTCAATATGTATCATAAAAATATAACTTATATTATATATTATGTAAGACATACAATAAGTAATGGACTCGACAGTACACAACCTTATAGAAGGCTCAGATATTATAATAGCACAGTTTTGATGTGTTAAAGTTTGTTGTTAATTTTTTTCAACTTTATTTTTTTTTTGAGAATACACGATATTAGGTTTCTAAAAACGACTCATATTCCACAAAAAGTACAAGAATCTTAGGTTTTTTGAAAATTCAATATCTGTTGAAAAAAAAACATTTTTTTTGCACTGAAACTATTTGTAGGCGAGATCTCCGGTTGAAATATTGCCACTAGATTTATTGATGTATTACGTGTCATAGTCTCAAATTTCAGTACAACTGCTATCACTTAAAACGGAAGGTCTAAGGATACTTGTCTTTTTATGACATTTCAAATCTCACTAGGGCCAAGCTTATACATAGCGTTTTTTGCTCAAAAACTTATTATCATTTCAAACAGTTCCTTCATTAAAAGCTTATCTTTTTCTGTGTTCTTCTTTTGATTGCCTTTTGAGGTTCTTTTTTTTGTCTCGTGCGATAACCAGCCGTTTATATATGTGTAAGGGTATAATATATCTTGTTTCTTATTTGCATATATGTAGTTAATTGTTGTGTATTCTCAGGAAAAAAAGTTGAAAAAAATTAACATCAAACTTGAACACATCGAAACTTTGTTATTATGATATTTTTTGAGAAATGATGAAATATTGCCAAGAATTATAGAGCTCGATTGGAGCTGTCTGTATATGTAAAAAGATAATTTTCTCGAGTCTTCTATAAGGTTTTATACCGTCGACACTACTACTTTTGATATGCCCTTAATATTTAGTTCTACAATTGAAATAAATTGTTGTTTTCTTTTTTTCTCTTCAAATATTTAAATTTTACTTTATTGAATTTTGATACAGTCAATACACAGCTTTAGTTTAAGGTATGTCTAATATAAAAAAAAAGCATGATAATATGCATCTGAAATATAATCAGAATGTTACTCTATAATTTTGATTGTTTCATATTTGTGCATGCTTTTATTTGGTTGATATTTTATGAAACGATGATTAAAAATATATTTCATTTGTTATGTCATTTGATCCATACAAACAAATAAAATTTGTTACTTTAATACGCTTGTTGCGCTTATTCATAATCTGAGCTAAACATTCCAATCATCTGAAACGATACCCTAAACTGCCTAAAATACTAAAGAAATTATTGTCAGAAACAATGTGCAGTATTAGGATTGTCTTTTCATCATATACTGTCGTATTTACACCTATTTTTGCCGTAGAAGGCTAGCTCTCATTTATAGAATTGTAATCTACATAGCATTGTACATATATTTTCTAGTAGAATATGAAACATTTCATTAGATGCATAGGACGTTCCTAAATATAGATTTATCATCACAAGCTACATTTAAAGTAGATGTATATGAAAAAAGAAGCAAACATAAATGCAATAATCATACCTACTATACGTGAATATACCATTAAACAGTTTTTTTAGATAAAACAATTCATTCATGAAAAAAATCTATAAATTCAAGGATATATTTTTTTAACAACTTACTCATTACTATCATTTTTCGCTAGTATTAAATATTTACAAATTGTTATTTCCATATGCAGTAGGATTCATCTTTGAAACTTAGGTAAAGTTCTTAGTGGACATGCGGAAGACACAAGTATGGATTCTATCATCTCTACAATTTATCTGTGGAAAAAACTGATGAACGAAGATTATGCAAAGATATATATAGATGTACTTGATAGTTCAATATTAATCTCATGTCAATCATTGTGTGGTCGAATCTAATGATATTGATATGATACTTTTTTGTTCATGTATGAAAACAACTTGAAAACGGGTTAAGATCCAGCAAGTGGAACAATAGTCGTTTCCACTGGAACGTCAACGATGCTAGTAATAGACAGACGTCATTTATCAATGTATTCCAATGAAAAATGTTCATAGAAAAAGACAAAATTGAAGATATTCATCAAAGTATGGAAAGCTATCTTGTCCATGAAGAATGTGTTCGTAACCGATAAAAATATGTTCTCTATCTGATGGAATGCATTCTTTGTCGTTCCACTCTATAATGGAATATACTATTCCTGATAGAAATTTTTTGCTCATTTACATAGAAAACGTTCTGAATCATTCCATTAACTATTGAAATGATTTACCTTTCGGTCTTTTTTTTTTTGGAAAATTAAGAACAGAATTTGATCAAAATGAAATGATTTGCTTTTATGTTTTTTTTAAAAGTGAATTGCTTAAGAATAGATTCTTGGCATTGATGAATACATTTCAGACGATTAAATGTTATTCTTAGAAAGAAAAGTAGATTTTCTTTGTCGATCTCTGAAAGGATTAACGCTTTCTTGCGGATTGAAAAGTCAATTATAGGATAACAGAATGTGTTATCGCTCGTCTTATAAAGCCCAATGAAAACATCGTGTTACATGGGCAATAAACATTAATTAGCTCCAATAAGCCATAAGAATGAACACACTTCACATGTGAAATACGGATATGTGTGGATGGGGACAACTTTGATGAAAAAAAAAATCACACCCTATTTAACATAGAATGCCCAATATTCAAGAAAGACATACTTTACAAACTTGAGATGCTGATTATCTAGAAAATTTTTTTCTAGAAGACAATAATTGTGAACGAGAATTTTGTCAATAATCAATTTATATCAGTAATGATAAGTTAAAAAATAAATGTTAAAATTAATTTACGGAGTTGTCATTAACGGGAGAACAGCAAGTTCTATACTAGTTTTCTTCTATTAGAACTGTATATTTATCATGTGATTTCGGTATAGTGGCTTTTTTTTTCAAATATATCTTTCGATCACTCATGGTCAGTTACGATCGAACTGTCGTAAAATAATTCAATCAAGGTCAACTCAATTGAATCATAAAGTTTAAACGAGTAGTTTTGCAGAGATGGAAATATCATAACCAAAATAAATAATCAAAAACGATGAAAACCAAACTCAATTCTCACTTTGAGAATATACTGCAACAATGGAGATATTTCCATGTAAAGCATTCATATAGAATAGATTTCCATTCATTCAAATACGAAATTAGACTTAATGAAATTGCACAATGTATTAATGCGAACATGGAAAATTAGCAAAATTACGCAAACGAATAGTATCAATCGTTAAATTTACTGCTTTGAGTATCTCGAATTTCATCTTAACACAAATTTATTATTCTGCATTATGATCAATGTTCAATTTATTAAGCTACGAAAAGGATACATAATATGAAAAGTCATTCATCGACAAGTTCCTTCATTGCTGAGATTAAAACTTAAATTCTTCAACATGTATGTATGGCCACATCTGTGCATGTTGTCAAACAAATTATTGCTTACTCTCAAATACATCTTGTAATCGAATAGTAATTGTTTATTGAGAATGTCTAGGAATATGAGTGGATTAGAGACCTCGCGCTCATCCGCACCGTGTCAAGTATGTACTTCCAAATTGTTAAACTTGTAGAAGAGATGTTAATATAGAAAAGTAAAATAAGATAAATTTAATTTCTCGTGGCCATCTATGTACAAAACATGCTTATTAATGTATATAAAAAATATTCAACGACATGAATCCAATCTTCATGAAGTATTCATTACAAAACAAATACTTATTTAATATGTTTCATAATCCCTATCGAATTAAAACTTATATATGAAATATGTTTTTAAGCCAGCCAAACAAAAGATTTTCATCATTTTTAAATACTGACTGTTCCACTTTTTTTGAGTAACTACATCATTTTGTCATAAATTTATGAATGTCACTTGACGGATTTATGATTAATAAAAAAAACTACACGAAATTAGTCACATTTCTGAGTTGGAAATAACCAAGAAAGACAAAACTTACTTTTTTTGCGTAATATTTATAGATGATGTGATTTTTCACTCAATATTAACCAATTAAGCAAAAGAAAAATAGAAAGAACAAAGTAAGACTTTTTTTCGCATAAAATTCGTGGACGAAAAATAGTCAACTTAAAACACGTCACTTGCGAAACAGAAGCATATCAATTTCCAACGTTTTTTGTTTTTCGTCTTATTTTTAAAATATAAAAGACAGAAGTTTATATTTTAGTCAATTCTAAAACATTAAAATAAAAAATAATATCGATGGCAACAAGATTTTCTAACATGACATTTTCAAATAAAACCGTAAATAACACTATTGGAGTAAAAAGTAAGCAAATAAAATTATTATCTTTGCTTACATGATTAATGTTTGTATAGGTACTAAGGATAATATGGTATCATCATACATTGGTCTTGCCTTTGGATGTACATTTGCTGTTATATTAATGATGATTGCTTGCTTTTTATGCGTAAATAAATCACGCTCTCCTTCTAAAGGTCAATCACGAAAC